CACGCTTAACGCCTACTTCCGCAGGCCAGGGGCAGACCGCCGGTATCGCCGCCGCGGGTACGGGCAGGAGACGCTACCGCACGTCGTAAACCACTGTCTTACCGCCCACGCAGAGGGCTACCAGCGGAGGCACGACGCGCTGCTGGTCCCGCTGGAGCGTGCCACGCCTGTGTTCCCCGGTGACGAGGTCCGGGTCAACCGTCGTGTCCCCGGCCTGGACTCCTCCCTCCGACCTGACCTAGTGGTGGCCCGGGGGGACCACGTGTCCCTCGTTCACGTCACTGTGGCTTTTGAGAACCGCCCCGAGGCCCTCCGCGCTGCTGCTGGACAGAAAGAGAGTACGCGTATTATAGTACGCGGGAAGTACGCGGGAATTATAAAGTGATGTGGCATCTGTTATTCATATTCCAACATGTAACGTCATGTGTCTTGTGAACCTGTGTGTACCTAACATATGAACCCAAGCGGTTTTCTATATCAACATTTTTAGATCCCTTTGTATAGCTGCTCTCCACGCATTGGGCCATGTTGCATCGGCCCGCTGCCCCACGTTGACCGGGGCGGGGCCTACCGGTATCTGGGGCGGCCTGTGGGCCACACCCGGCTGACCCAGCCGCCCCTGCAGGTGGTGGCCGAGGCACGCCGGGACGCCGCCCGCCTGCTGGGGTCGCCCCTGGCCCCGTGGCAGAAGCTGGACGCCGTAAGGACATTCATCGCCCCCTCCCCCGGCTCATCCACTGCCTGCGGCTAGGGGTGATCCCCAAGGGGGCGCTGGCGGCCTTTGACAGGTCGCTGCGGTGGCGCGTTAAGGGGATCCTCAACCTCCCAATAAATGCCACAAATCGCTACCTTTACAGCCCGACTAAGGCCGGTGGGGTCGGACTGACCAATTTTTCTCAGGAAGCCGATATCCTTCTGACGGCGGCCACCCAGCGCCTCCTCCATTCCCAGGACCCGGCGGTGGCCGAGCTGGCGGCCGCCGAGCTGACCGGTGCCGCCCGGCGCCGTGTCCGCCGTGACCCCACCCCTGCCGACCTGGCGGAGTACCTGAACGGCGCTCCGATGCGGGACGACAGCGGCGGCGTGTCCTGCCGCTCGACCCGCACCCGTGTGGCCACCACCGCCCTCGCCCGCCGCGCCGCCGTCCGCTGGCGCGCCGCTGACCCCCCTGTCCTGCAGGTGGGGGGAGGCGGACGTGGAGCCGCGGCGCGAGTCGCGCGCGCTGCGGGAAGCCGTGCGGCGGACCAACCTGCGTGAACTAACCGAGATGCCCCAGCAGGGCAAGGTGCTGGCCTGTGTGGCGGACCAGCCGGGCGGTGAGCTCCCATTATGTGCATAATGGGAGCTTCACCCGGTTCGTCGATTGGCGCTTTGTGCACCACGCCCGCCTCTCGCTCGTGCCCCTGAACGCCTACTCCCGCCGAGCAGGAGCTGACCGCCGGTGCCGGAGGTGCGGGTACGCGGCAGAGACCCTGCCACATGTCACCAACCATTGCCTGCAGGCGCACCCGGAGGCGTACCAGCTGCCGCACGACGCGCTGCTGGCCCGGCTGGAGCGGGCCACGCCGGTCTTCCCCGGGGACGAGGTCCGGGTCAACCGGCGCGTCCCCGGCCTCGACTCCGCCCTGCGACACGACCTTTTTTCCAACATTTATTGACAAACCATACAAATATGACACAATTATATAATAATAGAGGGCTCTCAAGCCAACAAGGACAGTGTCTGTCATGGCTTCTGACACGAAACAGCCGGGTTCCCGTCTATGCTAACGAGCGCCCCATGTTAAACGACAGGCCCCAGTCAAAGAGGACGGCTGCGACCTCGTGGTGACCCGGGGGAACAGGGTGACGCTGGTGGAGGTCACGGTCCCAAGCAGCGCAGATAAATTCTTCCTACAGTGATGCTTGCGTCACCTGTTATTCATATTCAATCAAATATGTTATGTGTCAGGTGGACCAGTGTATACCTAGCATATGAGCCCAAGCGGCCATTTTTTCAACGTTATAAAGGTCTTTTCACATACATTCTCTCCATGCACGCAACCATATGCGGCGCCCCGCTGTGCCAGCGTGCGGCAGGGGTGCCCCCCTCAGCGGCCTCCTGTTCTCCCTCGCCCTGGAGCCGCTGCTGCGGGCCCTCGCGTCGCCGCCGCTCAGTTGCGCTGCCTGAGGGCCGGCGACTCGGCCGTGGAGGGAGCGCCAAGAGGCAGTCATTCCACGATGGAGCCAGGGGAACTGTGCGAAGCCTTCCCAATCACCGCACATTTCTTTCGGTCCAGAATAGTGGACAGCTCTTCATTAAGACGTACCTGTCGTCCGCCAAACAGCTTTCAGGTGTTGTCGACTAAGACGCGGCCACCGCCAGCCGGTGCTATCCTGCGTGGTCTGCAGTGTCAGGAGGAAGTGGCCGAACTGGCAACGAAACGGACTGGTGACAACAAGACCAAACAGTTTCAGCCCACAGAGCATTCAATTCTATATAGTGACCACTTTGAGGTAAAGGACTTCTGGCCCAATCAGAATGGAGAGCAAAAAGCTCCTAGGCACACCCTCCCCGATCCTCCCGCCCGCCTTGCCCGTGGTGTGCGGCCGACCGCCATGGTGACCCTCCGGGGTCTGTCCTCATTCTCTTGTAAATATTTCGTGCATGGCAGACGGAGAGGCATGACTGTTTCCCCCGTTATGAATTGTCTCTTATGTATGTATCGTCAGTTCTTAATGTGCTTTTGAAAATAAACAAATCTGTTCTTATCAGCTCTATATGATCGCTTCTCGGCCTTTTGGCTAGGATCACGTGACCCCCTCACTGTAGTGTAGTATCTGTGGGTTGATTAACCTATTCTAAGTCGCGCGAGACTCTTTTTGACTTTGATCTTGGCCAAAAGGTCGGGAATTATATTCCCTGTGACCTTGAGCAGTGCCGTGTTGTTGTGCCCGTCCACATGGTGTCGCCACCGTCGCCGCCTGCTGAGGAGGGGGCGCCGCTGCTGCTCGACACCAGGTGAGACCGCGCGGCGACTGCCTCCCCCCCCCCCCGCCCCCCTAGCTTCCGGGCAACAGCCTTCAGCCGTTGACCCGTTTTCAAAGATTTCGCGCCAAAACCCAAACCGTTGGGATTTGGCGACAAACCTTTGAATTTGAACTCCCTTCCCGCCCTTTCCCACCTAACGCCGGCCTGTTGTTTCACGTTTCTTGTTTTGCTTATTCTCTATCCGATCTGGTTTGCCTCAATTATACCCTTCCACTGCTCAAGGGTTCTACGTAAAAGAAAGACGAGTTTCCGGTGCTCAGTGTGAAAGAAGTTGTGCCTCATGCTTGCGACTGTTGTTGACATGAAGTTGACATAGAGCTAGAACTGCTCAAACGCCACAATTATGAAAATACGAACCACCAGCAAGCTCTCAAACAACCGAGCACTTGTGTGTTTCCTCCTAATTTTATAGAAAGCAGCTCAAAATGATTCAACATGAACTACGAGCTGCGAATTGACCTCTGGGACTGGGGCAGACGCAGCACTAGTTGCAAGTGACTGTTAAAGAGAAAGAGACAAGTGTCAGATGGAAATAAACGCGACCGGGAGCAAAATAGAGTCAACGAAGCTGACTGAATCGGCCCACCTACTCCAACAGGGTAAAGTACTGTCGTCTGTGGTTGACCAGCCGGTCAGCTCACACTACATGTATAATGGCTCATTCACCCGCTTCGCCGACTGGCGGTTTGTGCACCGCGCCCGTCTGTCCCTGGTCCCACTGAACGCCTACTACCGCCGGGCAGGGGCAGACCGTCGGTGCCGAAGGTGCGGGTACGCGGCAGAGACCCTCCCGCACGTGACCAATCACTGCCTGACAGCCCACGCCGAGGCATACCAGAAGCGCCACGACGCCATCCTGGCCCGGCTGGAGCGCACCACGCCCGTCTTCCCCGGGGACGAGGTCCGGGTCAACCGCCGGGTGCCCGGCCTCGACTCCGCCCTCCGACCCGACCTGGTCGTCACTCGGGGGGACAGGGTGACGCTGGTGGACGTCACAGTGTCATTCGAGAACCGCCCCGAGGCCCTCCGCGCTGCCGCCGCAGACAAGGAGCGTAAGTAGTGTTATTACAACAACGTTTCTGTCACCTGTTGTTCATATTCCATCAAATTATGTTATGTGTCATGCGAACCTGTGTATACCCAACATATGAACTCAAGCGGTTCATTATTTCTTTTCGACATGATCAAGGCCCATTCACACAACTTCTCTCCACGCATGCAACCATATGCAGCGCCCAATTACCAACAATGACCGGGACGGGACGTACCGGTACCTGGGGCGGCCTGTCGGCCACACCCGGCTGATCCAGCCTCCCCAGCAGGTGGTGGCCGAGGAGCGCCGGGACAACGCCCGCCTCCTGGGGTCGCCCCTGGCCCCGTGGCAAAAGTTGGACGCGGTGAGGACCTTCATTGTCCCCCGTCTAACCCACTGCCTGCGGCTGGGGGTGATCCCCAAGGGGGCCCTGGCGGCCTTTGACCGGTCGCTCAGGTGACGAGTGAAGGGTATTTTGAACCTGCCGGTTTACGCCACCAACCGGTACCTGTACAGCCCGACCGGTGCCGGTGGGGTCGGCCTCAATAATGTCGGCGCGGCGGCGCCGTCTCGATTTGTGTGTGTATATACATTATACAAGCGCTCGGTCGAAACACTAAATCAAAATTATTTCAAGATGGGTGTTTTTTTGTGCTTACAGTTAACAAGGTGAAGATAAACTGGAACTGCAAAGACACCCTGGCCACTAAAACATGCTCTATTACGCTAATCTCTGTTCTTATCAGCTTAATTGGCGAGAGCGATCTACATTCTCTATCCTTCTAGTACCTGCCCCGGCGACTCTGGCCTGTACCCGGAGACTTCCCCCTCCACATTGTACAGCGACAGAAGAGGCGGATGTCGGGGTAAGGGCTAGGTTTTCAACTAAATGCTACTCTCCAAATCCTCCAATTGCCCTGGTGAGCGCCATCGGAGATGGCCTCGGCGGCCTCCGGGGCTGCTTCCCGCCCGGCCGACCCGGCAGCTCTTCAGCAGCCGTGGCTCGAGGGCCAGCTGCTCGTGCTGCCCAGCCCGCTGCCGCTGCACGTGCACTGCCCGTTGGCGGGGTGCCCTCGGTCCTACGCCAACCAGGTGCAGACCGCCGTCCGGCACAGCCTGCTACGGCACCTGCGGACCGACTTCCACCCTGGAACGTCGGTGACCGGGTCGGAGTGGCGTTGCGCGGCCTGTGGAGCCAGACTTGCCCGTAAGGTCATGGCCCTCTGAACCGCCCGGTCCCGGACGCGGCGTCGGCGTTCCGGCAGGAGTGCCACTGGTGCCGGAAGTGGTTCACGACCCGCCGAGGCCTCCTCAACCACCGCGCCCGCTGCCCGCGCCGGCCGCCGCCCGCCCCGCCGCAGCCCACCGACTGGGCCGCTGCGCTGGCGCGGCTCCGTGCCGAGACGGCCCCCGCCGCCGGCGCCCCTGCAAGACCGGCGACACCGACGAGCCCGGAGATGGACCTCTCGCTGAGCCCTCCGCCGCCGCCACCTGGCCAGGGCCGTCCGTCGCCGTCACCGGAGCCGACACCGCCGCCGGCACCCGAGGAGGATCGGCTCTCGCCGCCGCCGTCGCCTGGGCCGCTGACCGAGCGGTGGTGGTCGCCGACCCAGCCGTCACCGGAGGAGCCGACGTCGCCGCCGCTGGTGTTCCCGGCGCCCTCATCGGACTCGGAGACTCCATCGCCGCCGTCACTACTGGAGCGGCCTGACGCCGAGCGACGGCCCGCCGCCGACGGTGGTGAGCTGCGGCCCCCATCGTCCGCCTCTCCGGACCCGCGCCCTCGCTCCGGCGGTAACTGCTTTTGTTGTTGTTGTTGTTTATTGGGGCTTTAGGGCGCGTCGACTGCAAAGGTCATTTTGCGCCCATAACGTCGCGCTAGTAAAACAAGTGTTTCAAAAGAAGAAACTTTCTAGATATCAAGACTAGAAAGTAGAAGACTTTATAAAAAAAAGACAGGGTAAAATAAAACAACGCAAAAGCGTCGTAATAGACAACTGACTAGACAAAGAGACTAGAGAGGATTTGGGTCAGGTCGAGTAAATCGCTTGGAATTTGACTGCACGGATAAAGGAAAAGATGTTGCCAGATAAAACCCAGGGTGACTCGTCACCCAGCAGGTGGCGGACAGTGGTACCCGGAGCGATGCGGCCGAGGTAGCGCGTCCGGTCTGGTTCTAAAAGTGGACAAGATAAGAGCACGTGAGCGACGGTAAGAGGCGCGGAACAACCGTTGCAAATGGCCTGCTCGTCTCCGCGGAGGAGGTGGCCATGCGTGGCATATGTATGGCCGATTCGGAGCCTGCACAAGATCACCTCGTTGGACCGGTTGTCTTGCAAGCAAGACCTCCATGGCTCCAAAGTCGGCTTCACCTCACGGAGCTTTCCGCCTCCACGTAGGCTCCACTCTGCCTGCCACTCAGAGAGAATGAAAGATCGCACAGCCGAATAAAGGTCACGCGCCGGCAATGGCAGACGTCGAGTGCAGGAGGCTGCGGTCGCGCGCCTCGCGGCCGCATCTGCCAGCTCGTTGCCGTGTATGCCGACGTGGCTGGGAATCCAGCAGAACTGAACAAATTTTCCCGATTGTTCCACTGACTGAAGTCGAGCTAAAATGTCTTGAACGATCGGGTCAACTGGATTAAAACTCCGTAACGCCAAAAGGCTACTTAGGGAGTCCGATAAAATCAAGTAAGAAAGGCCGTCCGACACCTCGATAAAACACAGAGCCTTCTCGATGGCGACTAGCTCAGATGAAAACACCGAGGCAAAAGAAGGTAGAGAGAATGAGCGGGTATCGCGACCTGCGATAAAAGCACATCCCACTCCCTCAGGTGTTTTTGATCCGTCTGTAAAAACGGTGTTAAAACCATCGTACGAGACGATGTGTTGCAAGGCCCTGACTCGCGCCTCACAAGGCAGCAAGTCATCCTTCTTAACTTCGGAGAGTGAGAGATCTACTTGAGGTTTTGCGTGTTTCCAAGGCGGAGAGGACGTACCCCAGCTACGTCGTACGACACGTAAACCTATGTTGGCTGCGGAGAAGAGACCTCTCATGCGCGCTCCAAAGCAGAGCGATTGTCGCGCTCTGTCAAGTCGAGTGTAGTAGGTGGAGAAGACGTACGGATACGTCGGATGCGTCGGGAACTGACGCAGTTTCAGCGCATAGCGCATCCCAAGCATCTGGCGGCGTAGGGATAGAGGCGGCTCGTGCGCCTCAGCAAGAAGGCTGCTGCTGGGCGAGGTGCGGAAGGCTCCGGTGGCGACACGGATTGCAGCATGATGGACTGCGTCGAGGACCTTTTTGCTGGATTGGCTCGCTGAATCGTAGACAAAAGAAGCGTAATCCAGCTTCGACCGAACTATCGATCGGTACAGGAGAAGAAGGGTCCTGCGGTCCGCACCATAAGATGTGCGAGCAACACATTTTAAAACGTTCAGGGATTTAAAACACCGTTCCCGAAGCGTTCTAAAATGTTCCTTATACGTCAAGCGACTGTCAAAATAAATCCCAAGAAACTTCGCCACCGGCCGAGTGGGAATCACCTGTCCGTAGAGCTTGATTCCCAAAGCTAGGTCGTCACACCGTCGGCGGCAAAAGTGCATTGCCACGGTCTTCGCTGTGGAAAAACGAAGACCATTCTTACCGCTCCACCTCTCCAAACGTGTTACGGCGAGCTGCAGCTGTCTAGCCGCGTGTCGAGCGCTTGAAGCAGCAAACCAGATGGCAAAATCGTCGACAAAAAGCGATCTCCCGATGGAAACCGGGAGGTCGTCGACGATGTCATTGATTGCCACCGCGAACAACGCCACACTGAGCACCCCACCCTGGGGAACTCCGTTCTCCTGGGTAAAACTGCTCGAGAAATCACTGCCAACTCGGACTTTAAACCGACGACCCGATAAAAAATTCTTGATAAAGAGGCCCATCCGGCCGCGTATGCCGTACTTATATACTTTGGAAAGTATGCTGTGTCGTAAGACTGTATCATAGGCCGCCTCAATATCAAAGAACAGTGCTCCAAGGTGCTTCTTTTCAGTAAAACAGGTGCGTATCTCGGTGTCAAGGGCTAAAATGTGGTCAACAGGGCTGCGGTGCTTTCTAAAACCGCACTGGGCGTTTGTAAAAACACCGTGATGTTCCAGAAACCAGCTAAAACGCACATTGACCATCTTCTCCATCAGCTTTGAAAGCGATGATGTGAGAGAGATGGGCCGATAATGGAGAGGGTCATGTCCCGACTTGCCAGCCTTCAAGATAGGAATGATAATGGCTTCCCGCCAGGTCTCAGGGAAGGTGCCAGTCTCCCAAAGCGAATTGAAGGTTGCTAGCAGCGCCTCGAGGGCAACTGTGGGGAGATGACGGAGCATGTCGTTGTGGACAGCATCCGGACCTTCTGAGACGCTGCGCAACGAGCTGATGGCAGACGTGAGCTCAGCCATAGAGAAAGGCTCGTTGTACACCAAATTTTCAGCTGTGCTGAAGTCCACGGCGGCTGGTGCAGGTCGTGAGGACGGCTCTCCTCGGCAGCGCTGATAGAGTGCACGGCCTATCGTCTCTGCGACGTCTGAAGGGTGAGATATGTCCGTGTTGTTCACTCTTAAAACCGGAAGCGGAACAGAGCTGAACCGGCCTTCAATGCGCTTCATGCGTGCCCATATTTGGGTCGTAGGAGTAAAACGGTTTAAGGAACTTACGTAAGTGCGCCATGAAACAGCCTTTGCCTCCTTTAAAACGCGTCGGGCAAAAGCCCGCGCTCTCTTAAAAGCGATGAGGTTCTCAGTAGTACTACTCCGGTCAAACTTTCTAAAAGCGCGCTTCCTGGCACGAATCGCATCTCCGCATTCCTTGGTCCACCACGGGACCGGAGGACGACGAGGCTGACTCGACGTCTTGGGTATGCACCCGTTTGCGGAGTCAATAAGTAAACATGTAAAATCCTCTGTAGACATCACAGAGGGGTCGGCTCTGGATAAAACAGAAGCCTCTACAGCGGCCTGGAATTCGCCCCAGTCGGCTTTCCGAACATTCCACCTAGGTGGACGGTTGCCTGACACTGGGGACTCCTGGTGCTCCAGCCACACTGGGAAGTGGTCGCTCCCGAGTGGGTCGTCATGGACGGACCAGGTAAAAAGCTGAGCTAGCCGCGGACTGACTAAGCTCAGGTCCAGAGCCGATGTTTGACCGGAGGGTGTTGTAAAATGGGTGCGCTGTCCTGTATTTAAAATACACAGCGCCTCATCGCGGATAAAAGATTCTAAAAGTCGACCACGAGTGCCAGTCGTGTCGCATCCCCACGCCAGGCTATGGGCATTAACATCGCCGACTACCAGGACCGGAGGTGGAAGCTCATCGACAAGTCGATGCAGCTCAACCACCGGGAGCGCTATACCTGGTGGAAGGTATAAAGAACAAACTGTCAGCTCCCGGTGGTTGAAATCAACTCTAGCGGCTACCGCCTGCAGAGGAGTCTGCAGCGGAACCTGACGTGTGGGCACACTGTGGTGCACTGCCAAAAGTACACCTCCATGGGCAATGGTCGGGGTGTCTAAGTCTCTTCTAAAAACAGAGTAACCCTTGATGGCAAAGGTAACGTTTGGCGCTAGCTTGGTCTCCTGGAGACCTAAAACAAGGGGTGTGCGCCAACGGATAAGAGACTGTAGGTCCTGGTAGTTGGCCCGGAGGCCTCTACAGTTCCACTGTAGAATAAAAGGCGTGGTTAAAAAGGCGCAAAAAGGGCGCGTATAACATGAGGCAAAGGCGCACACAGATACCTGACTGACCACAAAAAAGGTAAAAAGCACCGAGAGAAATGCACCTGGTAAAAAAGCGCAATAGCGCGAAAAAGATAAAAGGATAAAAGAGGAAATGACTAGACTGAAGGACTAGACTAGGTCCTCTAACTCCGAGGAGGCGCTCCCCCCGTAGCGGATACGGGGGTGCCCTGAGCCCTCTCGGTGAAGCCTCCCTTCAGCAGAGGCAGATCGGGCATGGCTCGGGCCCGGCTGGGGCCTTTTCGACCGGGGGGCGTCGCCCTCCGAAGGTGACCAGCTCGGGGGCGTCTGCCGCTTGGCGAGGCGCCCTGGAGCCGCGGAGGGCTGTTGCCGCCCCGACGGGGATGTCGAGGCGGCGGCCTGTGTCCTCGACACAGGCGTCTCTGGCAGCGGCGGTGGTGGCCGCCGCTGCGGAGGTGGAGGAGGCGGCGGGGGACCCATGATGGGCCGAGTCCCCGCCTGAGGTGTCTCCGGGGTGTCAGCGGCAACAGCCGCATTGGCACTCCCGGCGGTAACTGCGTCGGTGGAGCATCGGCGACGACGCCAGCCCGGGCCCGCCGCTCGCCTAACCTGACATCGTCGTGGTTCTGGCCGCGCGGCTCCGGCGTCGGCGCGAGGAGGGAGCCGTCGGCCAACAGCTCGGACTCATCGCCCGACTCGCCGTCCCCAGCGCCCACGCTGTACCTGCCGCCTAGCTCAAGCTCGTCGGACTCGACATCAACTGCTGGCAGCGAGCCGGCCGTGTCTCCGGGCCGGGCGGCGCGCCGCCGCCGCTACCGAGCCAGGCGCCGAGCAGAGCGCCGCCGCTCGGGCCACGTGGTGCCTGAGGCCGCTCCGCCACTCGCGGACGCCGGCCCCGCGCGGGCGGCTCCGCCCGCGCTGCTCCCTGGGACAGCGCCGCCGCCGCGAAACCCGCCAGTGACGCGCCGGCCGCCGCCGCCGCCACCGGAACGGGACTCGCCACCCTCCCGCCGGCCGCCGGGGAGAGCGCCGCCAGACGCGCGGCGGTCGCCGCCGGAGCGGGACCTGCCGGCGCGGCGCCCGCCGCCTCCATCAACCGGACAGACCGCAGCCGCGCCCGCCCCGCGACAGCGCGGCGGACGGCGCGGGCGGGGAGGACGAGGTGGCGGCCAGCGATGTGTGGAAGTGCGAAACGACGCGAGTGTCACGGTAAGCGACCGCCGCGACCCGCCCCAGGAGGTGACGCCCCCACCCCAGCCCACCCCGGGACCCGATGCTCCCCCGCCCACCCCGGGACCCGACGCTCCCCAGCCCACCCCGCGACCCGACGCTCCCCCGCCCACCCCGGGACCCGACGGTCCCCCGCCCACACCGCCGGCCGGCGCTCCCCCGGCCGAGGCGGCGGCCCCGGCCTTGCGCTCCCGTGCTGGCCGTGGCCGTGGTCGCGGCCGGGGAGGCGCCGCGTCTGCCCGAGCCCAACCCCAGGCCCAGGAGCCCGAGCTTACCGAGCTCCAGAGGCTCTACCTCCCTCGTTTGGAGCAGTTACTAGCTGCCGACGCCGAGTGGGCGGCTTGCGAGGAGGTGCTGACCGCGATGGTGGCCGAGGCGAGCCGGCGGAACGAAGCCTACCACGCTAAGCGCGCGGAGGAGACGGACCGCCGCCGTCGCCAGCCGCCGCCTGACCGGCAGCGCCTCCGCCGCGACCCGCCCCGACGGCCCGACCCGGCCGGCCGCCCGGCCGCTGCGCCGGCCCCACCCCCCGGATCCAACCCCGTCCCTGCTCCCCCGGCGGAGGGCGCCGCCGGCCGACCGCCGCCGCCAGTACCGCCCATCGCAGTACGACCCAGCCGGCCGCCCGGCCGCTGCGCCGGCCCCACCCCCCGGACCCAACCCCGTCCCGGCTCCCCCGGCGGAGGGCGACGCGCCGCCGCCGCCGCCCGTATCCGAACGACCAGCAAGCTCTCGGACAGCCGTGCACTTAAGCCTTCTCTCCTAGTCTTATAGGAAGCAGCTCTTAACTGTTCAACATGAAGTACGAGCTGCACATTGACCTGTGGGATTGGGACAAACAGAGGTAGCACTTGTTGCGCATGACACTAAAAGAAAAAAAAGAAAGGTGTGACACCAAAGTGAAGGCAACCGTAAGCAACACAGAAGTCAAAGAAGGCGGATCAGCCGGTAAACCCCATTTTATGTATGATGACAGCTTTACCCCGGTTTGTTGATTGGCGGTTCGTGCACCGTGCCCGTCTCTCCCTGGTCACGCTTAACGCCTACTTCCGCAGGCCAGGGGCAGACCGCCGGTATCGCCGCCGCGGGTACGGGCAGGAGACGCTACCGCACGTCGTAAACCACTGTCTTACCGCCCACGCAGAAGCCTACCAGCTGCGGCACGATGCCATCCTGGCCCGGCTCGAGCGCGCCACGCCCGTCTTCCCCGGGGACGAGGTCCGGGTCAACCGTCGTGTCCCCGGCCTGGACTCCTCCCTCCGACCTTACCTAGTGGTGGCCCGGGGGGACCACGTGTCCCTCGTTCACGTCACTGTGGCTTTTGAGAACCGCCCCGAGGCCCTCCGCGCTGCTACTGGACAGAAAGAGCGTACGCGTATTATAGTACGCGGGAAGTACGCGGGAATTATAAAGTGATGTGGCATCGGTTATTAATATTCCAACATGTTAAGTTATGTGTCTTGTGAGCCTGTGTGTACCCAACATATGAACCCAAGCGGTTTTCTATTAACATCATTTAGGTCCCTTTGCATAGCTGCTCTCCACGCATTGGGCCATGTTGCATCGGCCCGCTGCCCCACGTTGACAGGGACGGGGCCTACCGGTATCTGGGGCGGCCTGCGGGCCACACCCGGCTGACCCAGCCGCCCCTACAGGTGGTGGCCGAGGCGCGCCGGGACGCCGCCCGCCTGCTGGGGTCGCCCCTGGCCCCGTGGCAAAAGCTTGA